TAGCTGTGGCCTGGCCATCGCTGGCTTCTGAAGCGCGGAGACGCTGCTGCTCCTTACGCAGCCAGGCGGTGCTACCGCTGGCCCCACCGCACCGCCGCACTGTCGACCCGCCCCACGCCGCGATGAAGCCACTACTGGTGTCGTCGCCTCGCCATCATGTCCATGCCTCCCCCTGCATCTCTGGGCTGCTGCTGGCCTAGTGTGATGCCACCTCTGTCGCGTGCATGTGGCCGGGCTTGCCATCACCTTGTCATTTATGGCACTGCGGCACGTGGCCTGATTTGTGGGGCCAAGGAAACTCCACAAGTGACACCTCATTTCTATGCATGTCATGTTCTTGTTGACCTCTGAAATTCATGGCTCAAGTGAGTTCTTGTTTTGTTTGGTTTCACCCATCGGAGAGTTCGATGATTTCATGGTCGATCCGCGAGGTCAAGTACTTAAGCTCTAAATGACTAAGTCTGAGGCTGTGCTCATGCATGCTCCGTCATGATTGGCAGATGATCCATGAACGTAGGTCTATGGGCTCTAAGTATTCAAGTTCTTAGCTGTTCCAGCGGAATGTTCTGTCATGATGGCGGATGCTCCGTCCAAATAGGTTACCTTCGGGTTTGGAAAATAATGGTGTGAGCAATTATAGTTGGATGGTCCACAGTGTTGGTGGACGCTCCGTGGGATCAAGTCTATAACTTCTAAGTTTTCTAAGTCTATGGATGTCTTCACGAAACATTCTGCGGTGAGGGCGGAGAGTCCGTGAAAACAATGAACAATCTGCTTAAGTGTTTGACTGTGCATTTGTTCTAGCGGAATGTTCCGGCGTGATGGTGGAGGCTCCATGGAAACATGTGCAGTGCAAAAATGAACATCTCAAAATGGAGATATTCACCTAGGGTCTTTGCATGTCAAATCTGTTGCTAGGCTATGTTTCTAGGATACTATGGAGAATATCTAGCTAGTCAAATGAACCTACATTGTGTCCCTTCGTCATCTGGGTCATTGGAGGTCATTTCTAGGTGATAAGTAATGTGATTCATGAAAATGTGATCTAAGCTTGATCCAAACTCAGCAAAGGTTGCTAGAGGTTGTTGTTGAGCTCCTTAAAGTGGTGAAGCTGGATCCAACCTTTAGCCCCACGAGCTCCTTCTTCTTGAAAGCTCCTCCTCCCATTGTTCGCCTAAATGGTCGTTTAGTCCATTTAAACATCGTGTAAATGCTACACGGTGGTATGTCGTTTCCGTTTAATCATCCATATAGCTCGTTTAATTGGCCATGTAGCCCGTTTAATGATCCGTTTTGCCTGAATAATGGCTAAACGGTAGGCGACCAATTGTTTACCATTTAGCGTTTAGGTAAACATTGCCTCCTCCTACTTGCTCCAAAATGGTTAGGGAGAGAGGGCTCCTCCCTCTTCTATCCCAACCTCTTGTGCATAGCAGCTCCTAGATGCTCTCCATGGCTTCTAGCATCTAGGGGGAGCCTCCATGTGGTAGAACCGCCTAATCTAATGTCTCCCAGGAGTACTTGTTTTCTATTAGACACTAAGTACTCAAGGGAGGACACCAAATTACGCAGTTCCGTCGAGCACACCCCAAGGGAGAACTCGAAAATCCATATTTTTTCATCAGGATCACAAATGAGAGAATAAAGCTTACATCATTATTCCATTTCTTACATCACTTTTTATGCAACATCAGAGTCTAATATTTACTGTTGATAATAGCAGAATATGATCATGTTATCAGAGTTATGAACAATTTAATTTAACAGTGGAATATAAACATGCAATCAGAGTTACAACAGAAATAAATACCTATTCATGATATGATGAAACATTGATATATAAACATTGACAACAGATTATCAAACTTCTATTTATAAAAACACTTAGTGAGAGTTATGAATAAAAACTATGATCGCAGCGTAAAAGAATCCTCTTTGAGCCCACCAAGAGGAATCCACACACAAGGGTTAGCTCTAGCATCCACCTGTCACCTACAACAGGGGAAATAAAACTCTGAGTACTCAATTGTACTCAGCAAGACTTACCCGATAGGAGGAAAAAAAAGACTCCAAGGATATGCAAGGCTATCTGGCTTGTGGGTTTATTGCATCTGCAGAAGCATTACTAAAAATGTATCCTTATATTCAATTTTATTAGCAGTCAACATTGGTTCATTAACTAACCATTCTATATAAGCACCTATGCTACTTTCAAGCAGATGGTAAACAATCAGAATTATTTTACCATCTTTCATCTTCCAGTTCTTACTACATTGCTAGATTGTAGACAAGCCATACGGGAACACCAGCGATTCACGAATCAATGCGCCCAGCTAGGTACCCCGAAACACACGCCCCGCTTGTACCCCAGGCACAAGCAGGACTAACCCACTACCCTCCTGTCATGGGGTCCAGGTCCCTGTCCAAACTTGGACTCCAAGCCCTCGCCCCTAAGTCCCGGACTCAGTAAGGTGCTTGGACCTCCACCCAAAAACCACGCTAAAAGTCGGTCCGGAAAGAGCCGGAACCCATGACAAGAGAGTAACAAGTCTTTCATACGTCCATACACAAGTATGTGTTCAGGATAATAAGTCTGTGACCTGCCTAGAACCCAATGCAACGGTCGGTCCTTAACCGACACAGACAGTGAAATAGTGTAACCAAGCTATGCCCCGTTGGCCGCAGGACAGAACCTCTTACACCCACCAATATCCAAACCATATCCCTGCCCGGTCTCCATTTATCATTCATATATATATTCCAAGTGATAATAATATAGTAACAACAATAATATATTTCCTATCTCTCGCGAGTGACAGGCAATCACTCGACTTCTATTGGAGTCCTGTAGCATAGTAATCTACACGATCCTATCGTACTAGTAAGACTCATAGGATAAAGATATATATGCATGTGGGGCCAAGGAAACTCCACAAGTGACACCTCATTTCTATGCATGTCATGTTCTTGTTGACCTCTGAAATTCGTGGCTCAAGTGAGTTCTTGTTTTGTTTGGGTTTTCCTCTTCCGAACCCCCTTCTCTTGCGTTTTGGGTCATTTCATTTTTCTGGAGATTTGAGACCGATTGAGGTGGCTAGAAACGTGCAAGGACCTTAGAGGAACATGTCTACCAACTCATTTGGTCAGATTCCTCACGAGCACGATATGGCGTGATTTTTAGTAAAGTTAAGAAAACCTCAATCCGGTCCGGGAGAATCTCGATCTACGGAGTTCCCTTGATCTTTTGGTGTTGATCTTATGGGGATTGTTTCTAAACTTCCTTAGGAACAACTCCACAAAATTTGAGCTTAATCGGAGTTCGTTTGATCGAGTTTTGGCTTTTTCTTTGTTGGCTCGGGCTGCTGAAAACAAGCAGCGCTAGCGTGGAACTTCCGCCAACTTCCGCATTGGAACAAGGAAGTTCTGCATTCGCGCGCTGAACTTTCGTGTTCAAGCGCTGATGTTCCGCGTTCTAGGGGCTGATAATTGACCTCTGGTGGTCCCGAGGCGTTTCCTTGATTTGCTCTTGTTTTTGCTTGTTCTGTGGGAGTCCTGCAGTGCCCAGGATCTTTTCTCAGTCCTCAAGTCACCAGTTGGCTTAGAGGATTTTGAGTCGGACTCTTGCTTCATTGTGATTGAAGTTGAGAGCTCCAGTTTCGGTTTTTTGGAGTGTTTCAGTGTTGCGCTTGGTTTTCTATTGTGGTGAGTGTCCCGCTGTGTTCTTCGGTCATCACCGAGAACATCCAGCCACCAGTTGGCTCGAGGGCATCACTTTTATGTGTTTTGGTGTTTTGGAGAGTTATTTGGGACAGCGGGCATTTCGATAGAAACTTTGATCGGCTCCCATTCAACCCCCCTCTCGTTGCCTTTCTGTCTAATTTTTTTTTTAAGATCGTTTGTAAGGCTTTGTGTATCCTAGTAATAGAGAGGCCGGAAGTGTGTTTTAAAGACTTTGTATCATCTCGATGTAACGATCTTTAAATTAATAAAGCTTTTTCCTTATCGAAAAAGTATTTTTTTAAGTCAACTAATTATGCGGGGAGGATCCCCACCTCGGTTTTTTGATAAATAATAAGAGTACAAGAATAAAGTTTAAACCCTAACTAGGCATGGGGCATAAGGTTACAGTTTTGAAGATACATATACACCATCGCCCATCGGCACCACTCGTCTTGGAGAGAGTCAGGATAGAAGCGTTTGTCCCAGAGAACAGAGTCAACGCCAACTAGTTTCAACACTCCATGAGTAGATAGGTGTTCATTGCGGAAAATTGAGCCGTTGCGCACGCGGCACGCCACAAAGTCACCAAAGGATAGTATTGAGAACGGCCGGCCAGAGCCCCTCAGTAGTTCTGTATAGGGGCGAATTGGGATGCAGCAGTTTTTTAGGTTCGATGGCGGACGAAGACATTTGGTATGCTCCTGTCCATTGACAACACTGGATAACATTAGTAGAGAGATAAAATGGAAACGATAAACAAAACTGGCCGTGATTGTTTGGCAAACACCAGGGATATGATGATGACGGACAGAATCAACATCCCAAAAGTACTCACTCCGTCTTAGAAAGGATGCAATTCTAGGATAGTGCTAGGTAAAATGATCTGTAGTTTGCCTAAGTCTATAAAAATATACTATTCTTTGTCATACTAAATGAGTATCATTGGATTCTTCATTAAATATATTTTCATAGTATCCATATCTGGAGTCATACATGTTGATATTATTTCCTATGTGTAAAGTTAATCAAACTTTAGTTAATTTGACTTTAACCATATTTAGAATTTCATCCTTTTCGGGATGTAGCCATGTAGGTAGTACCTATCAACTTGAACGCGGTTCGTCCATCTTCAGAGTAGGTCTGTTCGGATGCTGGGCAATTTTCTGCAGCAATTCTTGCATCAGTGTGTCGTCAAAGGATCCCTTGAGCCAAACATGCTTGAGTGAAGACGTGTGCTTTAGCCCAGAAAAATTCAATGACGACCCATCCAACGAACGAACCTTGAGCTGCTCAAGCAATTTCATATCTCTGTCGGCAAACTTCACTTGTAAGTTGGAGCTGCAAGCAATCTCGAGGACTTTGAGTTCACAGAATTGGTTGGGTGTAGACCACGCCGCACCATCTAGTGTATCACAAAATTGGAGTTCAACATCTTGGTCTGCTTTTAAATGAAGGCATAGGACTTGTAACCTTCTTATCTGACCAAGGACCTTTAGGCAGCTCCAGTGTTGGAACTTCTCTACATGTACCTTCATCTTAAGTCGCTGTAGATTCCTTGGGGTGGTGAATTTATCCAACCACTCCAAATCCTCGTCCATGTGGAGCTGCAGTGACAGCGATTCCAAATGGACGTGCCCCTCAATAGCAGAAAGGAACCCCTTGATGTTTCTCCTTTTGATGCCAGACACTCCAAGCTTGCGAAGTTGGGTCAGGTTCTTGAACACTGAATGTTCTTACCACCTATGGTGCTGACGTTAATAACACCAAGCGTGTGCAAGGATACGAGTGCTCCAGTCCTTTTGGGCACCTTGACGCCATCACAAGCAGAAACATGTCCATACCTACTCCTCCTTGTTGTTGATGGCTCCTCATCCATCAGCGCTACACTGGTGCCAGCACGAATATACTGCAGCTGCAGCAGCTTGCTGATGCCAACTGGAACCTTGTCAATATAGGTGTGTCTGATATCCAGAGTCTGGATCTGATTCAGGCACCCAAGGATTCTGGGAGGCGAGAAACCTTTGTGCATCTTCTAAGAGAGAGGAACTTGAGGCAAAGTAGATGCACCAACATTTTTTCCACGTCATTATCATTGACGTTTGTCTCCTCCAGATCGAGCACACGAAGCACTCTCATCCTGTGAGATATGAAGAATGACCTCCACTCTCTAACAACCGTCAAAGACCGTAGCCGTGAGAAGTCCAAGCTGTCGAGCACAAACTTGTCTCCCTTCCAGCTGCTCCCAATGGCCAAGTGCTGTCCTGCACGTTGTATGTTCAGACTGCACTGTCCCTGCAGTACAGTTACTTCCAGTGGAAGGAAAATGTTCTCTTTCGTTTCCTGTGAGATGATGTAGTCAAGGAACAAAGAGTTGACATGGCATGCAGTCCCTCTCATGCAACCGGCAACGGAAGATGATGTCTGTGGCGGCTTATCTATGATGCCCAGGGTGGCAATGTTGTCCAAGAGCTTCTCCGTGTACTCCACCTTGCTGTTGCTGTCAAGGCCCTCACAATAGCTCTCTGCAATCCACCTCCTCACCAAACGACTCCGCCGAATTATGGTGCTTTGAGTAAAAAGTGACAGATAGAATATGCATTTCTTGAGGCGGTGGGGACAGGTTTGATAGCTTGAATAGATCGTGGTGAATACGTCCCGAAAGCTGTCAAGCCCTTTGTTGGTCTTCAACTCATACATGAAGTTTGCATTCAGGCGCATCTCCTGTAAGATGTTTGGTGCTTTGTCCAAGCAGTTGGCTAATGCAACTATTAATTTGGGAAGTCTTCCACACTTATTTATGATAAAGCTTGCATCCTCCATCATATTAGGATCCGGATTGGAGGTTCCAGCATCTTTAGTTGCCTTATTTTTTTGGCGAAGGTCTTTAATTACCTGTTTCATGGAGAATAAAAGAAGTGCACTATTTAAATTAAAAGGACTATCGATTTATATTTAGTTAACACTAATTCATAGAAGCTAAGCTATCCCTGCGCTAAATTAAATACACAGTCATCACTAATTGAATGGAGATGTTTGGTGGAAATATTATTCTGTACTCTATTTACATATGTATATCAAAGTCTTGGAATTTAATTTCAAAGGAAATTTCTAACAACAATGATGGACTCTAAAAGAATAAAATTTCAAAAAGGACAATATATATTACCCTCATTAGCATTACAAGAATCAAATAAGTAGAAACAACTTCAATTCAGTAGAAACAATTTAGAATTCTAGATTAAAGGGAACACTTGATTGAGGCTACAGTTGGGTTAGCATGTTTGTTTAATTCATTATTGTTTTAGTTGAAAATAATATACAATTTCAATTAATAAAAGAAAAAATAAATCCAGGGCGTAACCCTCCGGTTTGCTTCATCAAAATAAAATGCGCAAGGCGCCATTGGTTTTAATAATTCATTCAATCATTAAGACACATATACTAAGAAGGCTATGTCTAGTCTGAGCATGCATGGCTCGGGTTAAGGACTCGCCTCCTCGAAGAGACAATGGGCCTTATCAGCTTCTAGACCTTTGAGGATGCACACTGCATCATCTGATGTTGCACAATGTCTGGCAACACTTTCATCCCTTGTAATAACAATGATACAGCTCTTGGTAGCCCTTGAGATCAAGTTAGCTTTTATCACGTCCCAAATTTCCATGGACCCTAAGTCGTCAATAACAAGAAGCCACTGCCGTAGTTCCAGTAGATCCCACCACGATAGAACGATATCTTCGCCTTCGGCTGGTGGGTAGTGTTCAATTCTGCCATCGGATGTGAAGCCGTAAATACTCATACACATGTCCACGATATCGAACGGATGGGGTGCATTGACCCAACCGTTCATCATGAACTTCCATGCTGGACTCTGAGGGTCGTTGAAGAGGGTTTTTACAAGAAATGATTTCCCAACACCAGCAATCCCGCACACTGAGACCACACGATGTGCCTCGCTGGTGAGTGCCAAGTTTATCTGCTCTATAAGTTCGTTTGCTTCAGGTTCGTGCGCGACGAGAGGGCAGGAATCATTTTTACCAAGAGGGCGAGGGGCCGTTCCCTGCAACTGCAACTTCGAGATCGCCCACCTCATCACCTGAAATGACAAGAGGCTTTTTATCGTAAGCTAAGCGTGCTTGATTGGGCCAACGTATACGTTACAGAAGGAAACATGCGAGAAACATCTATCACACACATGACTGAAGCCCACTAATTTGAACGCACCGGACTAGTGACCCCTCCCGACGAATTTTATAATGCTATTCGACAATAATAGCCAACGGATCAATTATGTTTTATTTTATAAAAGAATTACGCACTGAACCTCCTAGTAATAAATATCTATCAAAATTACCTCCTCTGTGCTTATGAAATATATATTTTTTAAAAACTAAATTTATTTCTAAATTACTAACACTTCCATTATGACAGATAATCTAAGTAAACCTTTAGATGTAAATTACCCACTCTACAAATATAAAAATAATAAAACAGCCCACAAATCAATATCTAAATACCAATATATATCTCCTTTTATGAAAACAAAAAAAAAACATACATTACATCTATATTATTTCTATATAGATTAGTCACTTTTGTCACTCTTAGTATTAAACAACTACCTTAAAGTAAATATACATGACCTGTGATCCTGTTGATCTGAGTATATATGTGCATGCATGAGTAATGAACATATGTTTCTCATTTTAGCAATCATAAAAAAATGTTCCCTTAATGACTCACATACTAGTCTAAATTGTAAAATAGTAGTTTAAATTATATTAATTAGTACCAATAACAATAATTTATTTAAATTGTTACATTAGACAAATCTATACATTTTGACTTAAATATTATGACATTACTGTATTAATAATGTAGTAGTAAACATTATTTTTTGTTAAAAAACTACGGCTATACTTATTATTACTTAATACATAAAGTTCAACATCTTTAGCAATGAAGAAGGTTAGTACATAGATAGCCATGGGTTCATGGTTTTTAAGATTCCTTTAGAGTAAACAACGATTATTAGGATTATATAAATATGAATATCATCATGAGGATTATTTGCATTACAGGTCCTTCTAGATCTGACTCCAAATTCTACAACTGATCTCGAGGGTCGTGGAGTAAAATGGTTGTCTATGCCTTATGATGCAGTTTAGAATTCACAATCCTTATTTTTAATAGAACACAAATTGAGATATTTGAACAAAAGGTACGACAAGCACAAGAGTTTCAACCTAATGTGTGGATAAAAAACCCACATAAATTAATAATATCAAAATTGATAAGAAGATCTATAGATGTAGATTGAAAAATGTATGAATCAATATAATTGATAAGTTTATCATAATCAAAGATATAAAAAAAGCAATTTGTGAACAATGGACCTTCCGGCAATGAGGAGATAACACACACCAGACCCGTCTGGGGTTCTTTCACTGTGCAAAAGAGTTCACTGGATGGTCTGACTATGAGGAACACTAGCATTGGACAATCAGGTGTATGGACAGACAATTGACAGAAGCTGATGAAGCTTTCAGGGAATATTCTTCACCGGACGATCAGCAGTCAGGAGATTACACACGATGGATAGTTAGACTTGGTTTAGTGACGTCCAGAGGCAAAGTCACTATACAAATGACTTCATCGGACGATCCAGCGATGGTGATGGGCAACACACTAGTGGAACGACGTCGATCAATAGAAGAAGCAATATCTAGTTCAACGGTTAGTGGTCACTAGATGATCCGGTGATAGCAAATGAGTACCACAGGACTGTCTGGTGTCTATAAAAAATGCCAGCCTTTGCCAATGACTAGTTTTAGGTGAAGCGCCGATAATATACTTCATTCACCTAGTTGTTTGGAAGGTGTTGGCAGAGTACCTTCAGGCCTTAGTCATCATATCCCATCCATATGAGCACTCAGTGATCATATCCAAGGGATTGTGCTTAGTGGCATCACTAATGAGTGATAGGCCTTAGATTGCGAACAAGAGAGAGACCGACAGTGTTCCCATGTAACCTTGGTGCGCTGGAACACTTTGAGGCTTTGTGCCTCTTTGTCAATTATATTGACCCTTCAAGCATTGTGTGGAGCGTTGACAACTTGGTGTGCAAGAGATGAAAACACCCTTCCTTGGTGGAGAAACTTCATTGTGGACAGACCCAAGATGACCGGAAGAGTCGAGTGGCGGCGGTGAACTTGAGTGGCTTGCAGCACTTGTTGTGGTTGGCGGAGACCTTTGTGGCAACCTCAACACTGACAGCGCAAAAGCTTGGTGACCAGAAGTGTACCTCAGTGGAATTTCAACATGGATTACGGCTTATATTTTGGCAAACGACCCCGTGGGATGCATCGCCTTGTCTAGGGAGTTTGCACGTTCTTACTTGATGAGCTCTCTACATACTACATTTAGGTTTTCATATGTGCTTTGTTTGTGTGGCTTTACCTTCCTAGTGTAGTTTTTCCTCACTTATATGACTGGCTTTATATTGCAAAACACTCTGTGGGTTTGTATAGGTAGAGAACAACAGATAAACATAAGTGCACGTCTTGTTAGTTGTTTCTTTTCATCTAGTATGAAATCAAGTAAAACCCTTGGTTAGAACAAAAAGTTACTGAAATAAAAATTATAACACAAAACCAGGGAAAGAAAATAATATATGCACAACAGATTAGGAAAAATATTACAAACTCGTCTAGCGCGAGCTCCGCCGCCAGACCACTCAGATGTGTGTTAGAGAGAAGGGGATCGCCACATGGCTCACCTGCAGGGCCTGCACACCGCCGCTGCTTCGTCATCTTCTTCTATCCTCTCCACTGGACAACTCAACTACTACCCGCACAATACATCTGAGTGGTCTGGCGGCGGAGCTCGCGCTAGACGAGTTTGTAATATTTTTCCTAATCTGTTGTGCATATATTATTTTCTTTCCCCGGTTTTGTGTTATAATTTTTATTTCAGTAACTTTTTGTTCTAACCAAGGGTTTTACTTGATTTCATACTAGATGAAAAGAAACAACTAACAAGACGTGCACTTATGTTTATCTGTTGTTCTCTACCTATACAAACCCACAGAGTGTTTTGCAATATAAAGCCAGTCATATAAGTGAGGAAAAACTACACTAGGAAGGTAAAGCCACACAAACAAAGCACATATGAAAACCTAAATGTAGTATGTAGAGAGCTCATCAAGTAAGAACGTGCAAACTCCCTAGACAAGGCGATGCATCCCACGGGGTCGTTTGCCAAAATATAAGCCGTAATCCATGTTGAAATTCCACTGAGGTACACTTCTGGTCACCATGATGTCAACCCTACATCACTGTCGATATGCCACTGCTGGTTCAAAATCCGACAGTGAAGAAGGATTTTAAACTGACAGTGATGTCGAAAAATGGGGTAGTGAGTAGTATTGTTTGTCGTGCGTGTGACATGAAGACGCCGGTAAATGAGCTCACTTAGTAGTGCAATCAAGTGATATATATGCCCAAAGAAAAAAGTAGTAGTTCTGTCTGTGAATGTTTAGAAAGATTATTCTAGAGAGTAAAAGCAGAAACATTTTATATTAGTCAATGCAGGATATCGTATACTAAAATAATATAACAGGGAGATAAAAGAAAACCATACACTTGTGACATGTAAGAAAACATTTCACACGAAGTGGTTAGAGAAATTTTATAATAGTTGGAAAAAACATAAACCGTTCATTAGGCGAGATCGGACGGTGAAAAAATAGGAGTTACCCAACTGAAAGTACATGTAGGTACGAAATAGGTAGAGATAGTACCAAGTTAGGCTGGGCCAGTACCAAAATATGTGGGTAGGATTTGTTTTTTATTTTTGTATTTTATTTTCAAATAAAGATAAATCAGTCATTCTAGGTTACTGCCGCCATTCATCTCGTATGTCTGCACCTACGCCACCCGGCTCCTCCGCCCTTTGCACAGGTCGCTGATCCTCTTCTTCCAGGTGAATAGGTGAGCACACATCATTGTTTAGGATTCTTATGAAAAAAAAATTGGTCATACATTTGTATTTTTTTTCTGCAGTCTTTTAGGATTTACCGTAACCAATCAACATCATTGTGTAGGCATTTGATGAAAAAATTAGTTCATTTGTTAATCCAGCATTATGTTACTGCAGGGAGCATGGATGCAAACGTCCTTTATTACCAACATGTTCCACTCGACATTGACTCGATGCAAGCACGTACGTGAGGCCATGGACAGAAAGATCGCTCAAGAGCGAGAGGAGGAAGACCGGACCCTGCAGCAGGAACATGATGATATGGCCCTAACACGGGATGCCCGAGCTCCCCAGTGCGATGGAGAAGTGCACTAGCGGCTGGGTCAGCAACACCCTATCCAAAGGGCACAACCTCAATTACTAAAATACCCACTATAATATATTTCTCAATTAATTAATTAAAAAATAGAAAAGATGAAAGAACCCAGAGGTACAACGGTACTTTCCCGACCATTGTAAAATAGCTCGAGTGGTTAACGCCAGTGGATTTTCCCGAGATTACCCGATCGGTGAAGAAGGCGTACACAGGTCGATCTTCCGAGAACTTCCTGAGCAAGGATACTCACGGTTGCACATGGTCGCCTCATGCACAGTATAGTTTTCCAAACGGGCCAGCCCATCGGGCCAAAGACGGGCCCGATCGAAAAAAGCACAAAGATCGCCCAAGGCGGGTCGGCTTGGCCCGCAGCTGCGTGCAGTTCGCCCCTCGCCGCCACTGCGTGCTGCATGCACAGGCTCGCACACACTGGCCAGAGTGCTTGGCTGACGGCACGGCCCGGCTCAATGGGCGGCACTAGGGTGGCACGGCCGCCGGCCGTTGATCCCTCCCCGCCTCCTAGCCGTTGGATCCTCCCGTAAAGGCGGGAGGGCTATATAATCCTCCCCGCCGTGGCCGCTCCCGACGCCGGAACCCTAGCTCATTCTCTCGTTGCTCTCCTCTCTCTGCTGCCGGTGGAAACCCTAGCCTCTCTCTCTTTCTTCTCGCCCTCCCGGGTGGTTGAGCCACCGATGGCTTGGCTGACAGCACACACGCAAGACGGCCATCTTTACCCT